AAAATGTAGAACTACAGATACACCTAAAAAATCCATTAGTAAAAGTTGTTTTAATGCTGAAAAACTCTTGAATTGATCATCTCGACATCGAGATGTATGACCATGAAAACAAAAAATTTTGAGTCCCATAAATGTACATCTTACAACACATTTTCTAGACCGTCCATTTTCAAGAGTTTCATATGTTTATAGATTTACTTGATTTTAATCATTTTTTAAGTTTAAATTTTTATAATTAGATTTGAATATAGATTTTGAGACAATCTTAAGAATATTTTACATCAAAATTATATGTTATGATAAAATTTGAAGGTGTGCCTTAAATAAGGTGTGCCTTAAATAGATTGTTTAAGGTTGAAACCTTATGGAAACTACCCTCATATAGCTTTTCTTGTGTTTTCTTAGGGCCGGTAGTCCTCCCATAACTCTTATTTCTATTTTTATTTATTTTATCTATTTATATATATATTTTTTATCGCCGATTTGGACTGGTCCAAACCTGGTCTTGATTGCCAATCTAGAAATCCGATGCAAGTACGTCGATGAATGATCCATGCTATTGATTTGGATTTAAAAAATAACATAAAATAAATGAAAAAAAAAGAACGACAAAAGTTTAAGATATTTCCCATAATTTCCACTGACTACATCGAAGCAAACCCTAGAAATAATTGGGAACCAATTCCAAGAAATAACCAGGAACCAATTCCAAATTCTGTCTCAGCTTCATACTTGAACTATGATAGAGATCTTTCCACGTCCAAGCTCGGCCTCTGAGGACGCCATGAAAGCAATACTAGCAAAAAGAAACCTTAAAAAAAAAAAATGAAAGGGGAGAAACCAGTGAAAATAACAAAGAAAGGTCGTCCCCAGTTACAGCACACCTGGTTCTTATGCTGGTTCTAACCACCAAATATACGTCAAGGCCTTCATAGCATCACATGCAAGCCTTGACATACAAAACGCTTTTGTTCAAGCCTAGATGCACTTAGCACTTTTCCATTCTTGAAGTAGGGTTTTAGCTGAAAACTTTTTCCATTTTAAAAAAGGTGAGGTCTATATAAGGAGCTCATTTTATATTATACAAGTAAGTTGCACCTCCAAATTTTCCCGGAAGAGGAACCTTTTATTTTTGTTTTTTTAGCATTTGCCAGAAGATATACTTCTAGTGTTGGAAATCTTATGATAGCTTGAAAATCCATTTTAACCCAAATAATGAAATTCAAAATTTCAAATATAGTGTAGATCAAACGTATCTATCAACACTTGAAAATCTTGAAAATAGATGTGGCCTAGATAACTTGTTATATGAAGCACTATTTTTAAGACTTGAATTTTTTTTTTTATATCCATACATTCGAGGTCAAGATGATCAATTGAAAAATTTTCCAACTTTAAAACACTCTTTTTAACAAGATTTTTTTGTACTTATGTAGTATAAGGCCGCAAACTTATGCAAACTTTTTCTTTCGGTCAAAAGCTTTTTTGTTTTTAAAAGCACATGCTATATTTAATTCCATTGTATCCTTCACAAAATTTGGCATGATTAATGTGGCCTCTAGGTCCTCCGATTCTTGATAGCAATTGAGTGATGGAGCTTTGTTGGGCTTTAGAATTTTAGGAGTAGACTTATCGGGCCACTTGGTGGAGTTCTATCAAGGAGCTTCCATCGGGCTTGGACTTTTAGGAATGTTCAGTTGAAAATTCG